GCAATTTCCAGCCTTTAAGGTCCCCCTGAACTGCAGAATGTGGCAGGATGCCTTACCTGGAATGTGCTCAAAGGACAATGTCCCATTTGTTGCCATCAGGGCAGCATTGAGAGGGCTTTTGTGCTGATTTGGGTGCTGAATTGGGCTAAAACCAGCCCAAATCACCAACCTCAAATGGACAACTGAGAATGAAGCACCAGAGCTGAGCCTGGCCATCTATCAGCTGGCCCTGAGAATGTCCAGCCCCCTCTCAGACAGAGATTCCTATTCCCTGTTCCAGATGGAAATGAAATGTGTGTGAGGTTCCTCCTTTCCCCATCCTTGGGAAGGGGATGCCCCCAGAGATTCTCCTGGAGGCTGAGAGAAAGAGATGTTTCCATGGGTGTTGGTGTGGGGAGTGACATTGAGCCCGGCTTAGGAATTGTCACTTTTTGCTGGCTTTGTCAGATTTATTTCATGGAATTTTTATGATTGAATTATTTATTAGAATTGCTTTGCACAATGGCCTTGGTGTGCACAGTGATCACAGTGGCTGTGGCAGCCTTGTGGCTGAGGGAGTCTTGGTGATCATGGTGGCTGTGGTCACTACAGTGACCAGAGTGACCTCAGTGATCTTGGTGACCTAGAGCTCAGAAGATCCCAGTGGCCCATGCCAGGTGTGTGATGGCCAGGAGGAATCCTCGGAGGTGACAAGGTGCTGTGGGGACCCTCCCACCTGGGGAACAAAGAGGGGTAAAATGGGAGATCATATGGGGAGTGAGGGGGTCAGGAATGGCCAAAATGGGGGGTTAAGGGTGGCAGGAGAGATGGGGGCCATGAGATGACCTGTGACAGGATGTCATGGGTGGGGGGGGGACAGGGGTACAAAGGGTAGATAGGTCAGCGGGGTCATGGTGGGCTTAGGGATGACAGGGGCCAGGGGTTGTCAAAGGGTGGAATGGAGGGGTGACAGGGGGTGACAGGGGTTTAGGGAGTGCTGTGGGAGGTCATTGCCCACCTACATCCATCACATGGGGCCCATCCCAACAAAAGTGTTTTGGTGGAGCAGGACAGGTTCGGTACAAGAGTGGCCCAGATTCTGCCCTCCCCTGGAAGGAGTGTTCCTGTCCCTGTCCCTCCCCAAAGTGTGAATCCNTCTCCACGATCACCATGGCCACCGTGACCCCAAGAAAAATGTGGTCACCAAGGCCACCACTGCCATTTTCCCTGGAGGAAATGGGAAAAAAGTGAGAAGTGTAGAGGAAGAGAAGAGGAGAACCAAAAATCTTCCCCACCCTCTCTCTCCCCTCCAACATCTACCTGATTGTCCTTAATTTTTCTGGAAATTCATTAATTTGCATTCTTGCCCAAAATCTGAGTTTTCCCACATACTCAGGATTTAATCCCCAGAAAACTCTATTTCTGCACCACAATTCATTCAGCTCTGAAGGGAATAAGAGGAAAGTGTCTTTACAAACTGATTGTGCAAATCTGGTAGTTGATAGAGCCAGGAACTTGTAGATAAGGAAGTAACCAGAGAAACTATCAGTTTCAGTAAATGTTCTTCATTGACACGGACTGCTGCTCAGCCAAGGTCTTGCTGAATTCCTGAACTTCAGGAAGAGCAAAGACTTAACAGGCTTATGAATTTTAGTCTCCCCACCCAGGGTGAAATTAAAGCTCATTTTAATGGTCATGAGTTACAGACGGATGGGGTGCATAACAAGGGGAACGTGCTGGCTGGATTGGGAAGTCTGCACCTTCCAAATACCGCTGCCAATGAGGAAAGGGAGAGGGAGATATGGCCAGGAAATTGGGATAAAAAGGAGTCTGCATTGTCCAGCAACTTGAGACACCCCATGGGGAAATTCACCATGGCCTCTTCCTTTGTTCATGAATAAAGTTACAGGGCTCTTCTGTCTCTCTTGTGCAAGTAAACCTCTGGCAAGGTGAATTTTTCTGCTCAAAAGGTAGATAGCAAAAATGATCCACTTGAATCATAAGTCGTATGCTCAGCTGCAACCAGAGTCTCATCCACAAAATGGTGGCTCTGTCCTTTATACCCCTGGTGTTGCATCAGCCAAGTACATATCCATAAGTAGTAATACATATAAAAAATTTTCCTTCTATATGCCTGGCCCCTCCCAACGTCTGCCAGTTGACTGTTTCTTGCTGTCCATTGGTGGAGACCTTCCTGCAGTCTGATTGGAGGTGAGATTTTGTCATGCGCTTCTCCCCAGACACAGGCTTGGCCCTTTCCCAGTCACCCCATGCAAGGGGCACAGGTACACACCCTCCCTCCACATTACCCTGACAACCCTGACTACCGGTGCCCCATGGTGGCAACAATACAGAGGGGGGAAAGGGGACTATGGGGAGAACAAAGGGTGTCTGAAAAACAAACC